CTTTTGCTGAATCGAAGGCCGCTATTTCCAAGCGTTCTTGGCTATGCCTTGGATTTTGCTTTTACTGGTCATCTGCCTCTGATGCAAGCATAATTTCATCGGCATAGAGCCTGCAGTATGGGGCTGCCTATTGCAGATCTCAGTTATCCAGACTGCCGCCATCGAAAACAGAAAGAGGCTCAGCGAGGATCATTGGAGGTCTCATACCCGCACGAGGAACTCTTCCACATCGCCGCATGTACTTGAATCTACCATTATCACTGCCGTACATACCTTTGGCAACATTGATATATTTTTATGGAACATGCTCCACCAGACTGCTTGCCTCGGGATTCGGTCAAAGGCTTTCCCGAAGTCTAGGAACACCATGTAAATGTCCTGTCTCGGCTTCTCTGTAGGTTTTGAAGGCTGATCTTAAAACGAAGATGGCATCAACGGTTGATCGGCCTGACAAAAAGCCAAATTGGTTAGTGATGCCGACCATTACTTTTGTCAAACACCCTTTGGTGTGACTAAGTAGTCTAATTCGAGGGTAGCTTTCACAGGGGAACATGTCCACCTTTATCTGGTACATTGACACCATAGTACTCTGCCTCAATGACTTTGGCATTTCTTCACATTTCATAGCTTTTTTGTTGAACAACGCGCAGAGCTAAACAATGTCTTCTAGCCCCAGTCCTGTCCATGCTTCTAGGAGAACTCCGCACGGGGCAAGGGCCTTTTTACTTTAGATTCCTCAAGGTCTGTTCTACTTCATAAGGTGAGATCATTTCGACTAGACCCAGATTTTATGGGACATCATCCGCGGCTTCTTTTGGATATCCCTCTTTTAGCAGCGTTTGGAAGTGCTTTAGTCATCACTTCCGAATATGCTTTTCGTCAGTCAGCACCATTCCGCTTTCGTCGTTTACGCACTTAATATACCGACGTCTCTTTTCTTACTTCGCTGGCATTTGCAATGCAACAGAAGTCCTTTCACCCTTTCTTCGTTGCCTGTTTTTCATTTAAGTTATTGCACGCTGTAGGTTTTGATTCGGCAACAGCTTTCTTTGTCCCTCTTCGGTTTACCATACTTTACTCTGTCTTTCGCGCTGTTTAATAGCTGCAATTTTTTGAACAGCTCATTCTTCTGTCGTAGGATCGCCTGCACCTTCACATTCCACCACCATCCCCCTTTCCATTTCTTTCTGGATGTTTTGTGACTTTTGTTTGTCTGACTAGTCGTTTGACATTGCCTGATATTGTGCTGGCCATGCGCTCCCATACTTCGTGCACTTACCAGTTGCAGTCTCCCTTCGTCATTTTTTCTCATAAATTTTTACGAGAATTACGATTCGAATCTCTGCATCGTAATTTCGAACACTTCTTTTAGCTTCCATTTGAGCATCCACCATTGTATCTTCGACCGTCTGAACCGGCCGTTTCAGAGAGATGGTCTAGGACCAGTAGCTAATGCTGGCTCATGACAGTTTTCCCAGGGATAACGGGATAACCCTGAAATCTCTGACGTTCTTAAACTCGCTCGTTCGGTGAAGGATGTAGTCGGATCTGACTTTTCTACTGCCCATTCTTGTACGTTAGCAGGTGGTTTTCTCTTTTCTGGAAGAACGTGTTTTTTAGAGCTTGGTCATATGCAACTGACACCTGCAAGATGTTCTGTTCTTCTTTATTTAACATACCACGTCCATACCACGTCTGCTAGGAATCCTGTTGTTGGATCGATGTTTCCCGATGTGCAAATTAAGGTACCCCAAATTATCACTTTTTCGTTTCACCGTATGTTTTGCACTGCAATGTCTAGGCTCTTCAATAATGTCGTTCTGGCTGGTCTGGGGAGGGAGGGGGCGTTGGCACTTATTACATGTAAGATGCCACTTTCCAAAGTGAACTTAGCGATCGTGTTTCTGCCACTAATTCGTCTGACTTTGAACAGCCTGTTATTGGTCGCTTCATTCAATGCCACTCCAACTCCACTTCTTCTGCTTGATGTTCACAGTAAATAATTTCATTGCCTAACTGAAACTTTTTCGACTTCTCATCTTTCTAATTCGTCTCTACAATAAAAGCGATTTTAACTTTTCTTCCTTGAGAAGTTTCCGTTAGCTCCATGCCCTTTTCCGTCATTGTTCTAATGTTCCAAATGACTATTCGCATTTTCTCGCTTCGTTTTCGGCATGTCAGTCTCTTTTGCAACTGCCATCATCGAAAGAACTAGTTTTCTTGCTCATTTTTTATACCCCCGAGGAATTGCTGCTGCGCGTTTCCTGTGGAAAACGCCTTAGAATCATTTCTACAGCTGGTTCGTGATTATTCGCTTTCACATGGGTTTCTACGACCGGCTGTCTGCCTGACCCCAACCTGCCTTTTACAACCGGGATAGGAACGGGCAAAGACTCGCTGAAGTTAGCAGGGAATCAGAAACGACTATCGATTATATACTCTAAGACTATTAGTTCTTCCAAAATACAAAGTTTTATCATAACAAAACCGCATCATTCCTGCCATCCCGAAACATTTCTCTAGCTAGTGTATAACTGCTTTGTCAATTAGCCTCATCAGGGACAGAAACTTGGTAAAATAATGGTTTATCACATTATGGCACTGATGCTTCCTAATCAGAAATCCTTCGTAATTGCAAACAGGGCAAAATAAAGATTGCCTGTTTTCTTTTACGGTTGTAGCTTTGATCATAAAGGCTTACCTTCAAATCCAGAATGGCTAGGTATTGAAGCATTGTTAGCCAGGGTTGTAAAACAAATTTCCTTGAGAAAATCGCACACTGAATGTAAACCTGGTAAAGAATACAGTGCCTCAAATGGCATCCGTCTATGAAGTGTGCATGGCATACATGACATACGTGATTCCGTCAACCTCTATGAAAGATGATGGCTTGTCATAGTACTTCACATATTGAGGGCAAGGTACTTTTTATGTTAAGAACCAAATTCAAAAGTAAAGAATTCACTTCATTTCCAGTGCAACCATAAGGTAAATGAATAGCGAAGCAATCGGCCCGATAAGGTACGATGTCACAGTGCCTAGCAGGGATCACTGAAAAATTTACGACAATGATGGCCAAGGAACTCAATATACCTTGACCCGACTGACCAATGACCGTACTAAGCACAAACGGAAACCCAGAAATTTAAAAATGATGTAATAAAACTGTTAAACTCGCATAATCAACTCGCCTTCAACTCACAGTCTTCGTTGACGGCGATGTTACTTGGCTTCAGATCCTAAAACATACCACCATAATTTAGAACACAAATCGCTTGGTCAGCTTTTGTTTACCCGATGTATGACGCCGGCTGAATGAATGTACTAAAATTAAGCATCACTTTCTAACTGGTGACTTGAACAGAAACAAAATAACTTTACTTTCAACCCCCGCAGAATCTGATACACTAAAAACTGCACGTGATCATCAGTCAAACGTTGAATTCTGAGGATATTTCGCAAATCTGAACCCATAAGGGATGATACGAAGTATCTAAATTAAAAAATGAGACAATCTAATTAATTATGAAGAAACAAATAATTGCATTAATGCGGTGTGTGTCCTAAGGACACAACTCTTTAGGAGAATAATAAGTACATCACATCCTGAAGTCCATGTTCAATGATGAATAAAAATGTAGGCATGGTTGAAGACATAAAATAAGGCGACAGTGTTTAATAGCAGACCGATACTTTGGAGAGAAAACGATGAATCATCGGATAACGACTTCATGACAGGTAGTTTTCATTTCGACTATGTTCGCAGTGAATTAAATACCTCGAACACTAGTTATACTTTTGCTGATATCTGTCGTGACGTTCTGTTTAAAAATGGTGCAGCATGTCTGATTCATAGACGTCTGACCGACGACGCCATCTGAATTTCTGACTCTTCTATCAGATAACATTTATTTTGACCGGTATTGTCTTTGTCTTTTCCTCCTGCAGTCTCGGATTTTCAGTACTTTACCACAATGCAGAGATTACGGTGCCAATTAATGAGTTTTGATTTTGCCTATCCGTTGTAAATACTCATGCTGCATTATCGTTCTGCTAGACACCTGCAATGTTTCAAGAAAAGAAACTCGACAACCAAGGTGAGGCGGCGTTCAACTTCTGCTCATTCATAAAACAAGATCAACTGTCAGTTCCTAAGTTCCTGTTCTCTGCGGAGATTCATGGAACGAAAAAAACATTCTTTACATGAATCTGCAACGCAACCAATGCTAATCGTTGAAACAATGTCTCCACCTCAGGTAACTCTGACCAGTTCGAAGCCAGATACTAGTCGGTTTTTGAAAATGTTGTTTGAAATTTCGCCACTGATGAAATTTCTTCAATTAAATAAAATGTTTGGAGCATTTTCCTCTTGACAATTCCACTATGTTACGTCCAACAAATGGCGTGATTTTTTTATGCTTTCTGTTTTAGAAAAACACTAAAGAAAGAAACCATTGGAATGTCAGTCTTCCTTACACTTTCATTTTGGGGCCACTTATGCCGCCTTCGTTTTCATGATGAGAATCTGGTCTCTCATGAATTCATGATGGAATATATATATCTTAGACCTCTCGGTTCTAAGTTTCACGCTCTACTAACTGAGCAACCCCGGTCAACAATTTCAGCTAATTACCAAAATAGAAAGAAATATTATACTGAAATTATACAGTTCCTAAAACTTCCGCAAATGATACTTTTTCTCGACCGTACAATCATAACAACAAAACATTTTTCATACATGTCTTGCATAGACTGGGGATCAGGATCTGGCGTAAACACATCTTTCAAATCAAGAACCTAAACACGCTTCAGTTAGAAAAGGCCGGTTAATAAAAACAAACAACGATAGTACATTTTCATGTGTCATGTGCCTCAGAAGCTTCAGTTCCCTGTAAGTTCGTTTAGCATGAACGGGGCTTTGAAACGGTCTCGAAAGTTTCTTGATAGCAATTTTCTCGTTCGTTACTGTGTCAATGGCAGCGCTGAAACGAAAGAAAGCGTCAGCTTCGAACAATAGAATTCTCTAGAACTGTAAACACCCACCACACGCTTCCATAAGCTCCAGTGCCAACGGGAGACAAGCTATCGTACCGCTTAGGAACTCGCCAAATGGTTTTGTTAAGTTCGTATTTTTCAAACTCCAAATTCATCGGTCCTTGACAATGATGTTCCGTCAACTTTCCAACTCCAATGTTAAACAGTAGTGTCCAAGGCTACAAAAACATAAAACAGTGTTATAAATTTCACGTAGCAAGCGAGCAAACATGAAATAAATACAAGAACTCTCGCGATGGTCATGGAGAAGCTAACGATTTGCACAAATGAAACTTTACTCAGGTCCAAGCCCAGAAACAACAAAAAATATGTACACTAACAAAGTATGTACCTGATACAACGGTAACATTCCGCATAAACGGACAGCATTGGTTAATCAAGAACCAATAACATAGAAATGGCACAACAAAGTAACTAAACACTCTACACAACTTCGCGAACCTCATCTTTTAGCGTATTATCAGAACTACTAAAATACTGATTTTCATAAACTGTAGGAGAGGACTGGTCGTCAGAGCACGCGGTCTTCTGCAGTGTTCCATACGGCGTAATATATGATATCATAGACGACATTGTGTAATTAAATGGGGAAACTGCTCTGGGAAAACTGAAGCAAGCAGAAATATATTAACAATAAATATACTGCCCATTATAATTACCCTGGGGGGTACACTTTCATTTCGGTAGCCTTTCGATAGAGTTTCGGCGCAGTGCAAGAATTCTCTAGAATCGCAAATCGGATCGGCGGAGGTGGATGATAAGGCGAGTTTGAAACGACGTCACTGGAAACCGGTGGTTTCTAAATAGTCTCGCCAGTTATTTAGCACATCCATGACATTAACTGCATTCGAACATATACTATGATAAAACATTATAAGAACAAAAGGTACCTCAACACTTTGCTGTCTCACTATTTTTCTTGGAGGCGCATGGTGAGGCTGAGTGTGGCGCAGATGTTCACTGAACAGATGCAAACTGCAGAGCCACCAGAGGGAGCCACTGAGTAGTGACAGGAGACCAATGGTCAGTAACACCGGTCCTGCAATCTAAAATCACGGTCTAGTCATAAGTGAGCAACATTTCCTTGACGACACTTACAGCTGATCACTCTTCAGCAAGTTTACTCAAAATGATGCTTGTGATATGCACACGGACAAACAAACAGAGTCTGAGCATATCAAGCCTGTATCACAAAATCACGTCAACCAACATCCATCAAAAATAGATCGATAAAACCAAGCAAACAAAGCGTTTTGGCCATCGTGCAACAATCATATCGGCAAGAATGCTGTTTAAATCTGAAAAACAAAACTTACGGCATCAAGAATTCGACTTTAATTTGCATATCTGAAACAATTCAATTAAAAACAACACCCACAGTATATTAATGACATGCGAATCTGATCGATTTTGACAATTATTTATAAATGATTATTTCACCTTAAATTAATTTAAGTGAAACTCACAATCTTCCGTTACCACCTTTGTATATATGATACATTGGTATACTTCTGAAGGTATAATACCCGTTGCTGGTTCTATTCAGGAGTTTTCCTTACTGCTACGAAAGTCCTCACGGTACTCTCCGTATCGCCAAAGTACGCCCCAATTCTTGAAAGAAGGCGTCCGGGTGTATCATGCGGCACTACTTTGCTGTCCTTCTTTCCATCTCAGAGGTAGGGGATGGTCTACCACAATACCTTGATTGAAGCCTGGTAATTCGACACTCCAACACCTCACCAAACTTCTCCCAGGAAGTTTTGGCTTTTGCCACTGCTTTCGCTGCCGTCTTGCGTGCCTCGATATATCGCGCGCGAGTAGAACGCTCCTTGTTTGCAAGCCATTTCTTGAACGCTGCTCTCTTCTCTTTAACTGCCAGTTGTACCTCTCGTGTCCACCATGAAGGTCTTTGCTGACCTCCAGCCGGAAGGCCAACCCGTTTATATCCGTAGCATTCGGCGGCAGCCTGGAGTAGGCCGCTCTTAAAGAGCTGCCACTCGCTTTCAACATCGGTTGTCATCACCGGGATCTGTTGAAACCGACGTGTAATGTTGTTTTCAAATTTTGCTCTTGTGTCCACCGAAGAGAATGTTTCCCATTGGATTCTCCGGTTGCTTCTGCCACCGGATCTTCGTATGGTACTCCATTTCTTACAGAGCAGCGTGCCAACAACAAGGTGGTGATCGTTGATAGCTCTGCGCCTCTCTTAACACGAACATCCATTACTGAGCGTCTTAAGTCAGACGATACGATTATCAAATCGATCATCGACTTCTGTGTACAAGCTTCCCTGTATCAGGATACTGATGCACGCTTTGATGTTCGAAAATCGTGTTCATAATGGACGGTTCGTTGTTTGCAAAAAACTGAAGCATCTTCAAGCCACTATTGTTGAGGTCACTAGAGCAGTTCTTTCCAATCATAACTTTCCACTTTTGTGTGTGTATGTGTGTGTGTGCTCGGGAATGCGCATTAAAATTGCCCATGTGAATGAGGGGCCGCTCATTCGGTGCTTCATACAGAGTACACTCCACTACCTCAAGGAAATACTCATATTCTCCATCCAAATTGGGCGTATATACCTGTAACAAGATCAACACTTTAGCTGTTGTAGCTTTGGTCGGAGGATTGCCACTCCTCCGCTGACAGGCTTCCATTCAACGAATCTCTTAGCCAAGTTGGATTCTACAAAAATATCAACACTGGCGTTACCTATTAACAGAGGTTCAGAATTCCAGAGCCTCTGCGCTTCGATGACATGAGTTCAACAACAATGAGTCAATACGGTGTGGAATCATTAAACAGTTCCTGCTCTTTTGCTGTGAGTGAAAAGAATTTCAAATTTTAAACTATCAGCCTCCACTGTTTATATCGTTAGCGCCCTATCTTATCTGAGATGTCATAATGGCAATGCGCCGTTTGCCTCATTTCTTCAGAAGGGGTAGAGGCTACGTTGCTGACTGGTAGCTTCCGCCTTGTTCTTGTGGATCTTCGGCACCGGACGATGTTCTACGAGCAGTGCTACGCTTTCAGGTTCCAGAAAGAGAGAAGAACGTTCTGACAGGTGACTTTTGCAGTCTGTCTCCCTTCTCCAATAGCATGCGCGGTCCTTGGTAACCAGAGTGACGGCCAAGTCGGTATAATCGGTTCGATAGTGCCAAATTTAAGAGCGGAAAGTGGTTAAGTTACGAGACGTCGTCATGATCCCCACCCGCCATCTTTCTCTTCCGAACTTGGGATCGGCAACGGTGAAGTGACATGATCAATATGTATTGTTTAATTTTGTACAGGTTTTGTTTTTCTTCTTTATATATTTGCAATTCAGACAGAGGAATCACGCTTACGAAGAAAATGAAGAAATAGAAAGAAGAATAAGCAAAACAGAACAGAAACAACAAGAGAGAAAAATGACTGAAGGGACATTACTTTAAATTTTAAAACATGCTCATTACAGTAAAGTATCGCAACGAGCATTGAAAACTATTTCTGATAAACCTCACTGATGTTACCCTTGCCTGTTACTCTCAACCATCTTTCTGCCACATGTCTGCAGGGCAGCTTTTCACTAAAGGCTGGTTCTCGGCAGGATCACCGCATTCGGAAAGAAACGTCATACAGAGAAGTATTTCACCGTACACTGGTACTTCTCTACTTTAGTGAAGACAAACCCAATTTCCCAAACCCTCTCTCTACCGTTCATTCTGGGTTAGCTGTAACTAGCATGACTTTCCCTGGATTGTGAAACAGCAAACGCTTTTGTATTCTCGAGTCGTACCTTACGTCTTACTGTGTATGTGAGCAGTTTCAAGTGCTGGTATTTGTTAAAATCATGGCTTTCATCCGTCAGCATAAAGACTGCATAGACAAGAAGTTTCAGGTTTGTGATGTTCACAATAGTGGCAACTTTGCAACACTTTGGCAACAATACACCTCTCTAAATACAGATATTCTTCTGGCTTATTCACCTATAATGCATTCTGACTTCTAAATCTGCCAAGTTTAGACATCATCTAAGACTCTGACGAACTAGAATAAATAAATTACAGTTAGTTTCAAGCAAATTTTGTAATGATGCTCAAATGCATACGTCATGATCACTCCGCGGAACAATGGCAACATGCAGACACTCAGCGTCAACATCATTTTTAGGCTCAATGCTTCCTTGTACATCAGCGTAGTAGCTATAAAAAGCATATTACCAGATTCATCGTCCGATCGACACACCTTATGGCGATTCTCCTGTGATTTTAGGCAGCGTTGGCATTTACCTGGCTTCCCTCAGAATATATTTTAAGATGTCTATGGTCTGATGCCTCCCTCTACGTTTCATCAAGGCCTATATTAAACACTTTATCTACAATGATGATATACGCGTGTTTCTCATTGACTGTTTTCGAGATAATTCAGAAACTGGAAAAAAATGAAAAGGCATTCCATGAAAATAAAGTTCGCCTCATACTGCCGTGAATAATTGATCCATCCAGTGTAAAAAAAGAAAGTTCATTCAGTTACACTGAGCAACTCTGAGACGAAACAGTTGAACAGACTTTGAGGTAATGTCAGAAGCCTGCGCTTCTGCTGTTAGATATAAACTGGAATTCTACTCCGAGCGCTGATTAATCTAACAAGCTACCAAATAGCATAAGTTAAAGAAAAACGGAGCACATGCGCAAAAGTTCGTAGCTTTACATAATGGCGCGTAGGTGAATACCTTGAGCGGTTCTACGGTAAAAAATCCGTTTAGGGAAATAGCGTTGTACGCTAAATAAACCATGGCACAACCACCGATCGCAAAAAAGGTACCAAACGCGCTGAGACAAACGATAGGACTGGAACCTCGAAATTTTCGTGTCCGATATGGAAAGAATCCGAAATGTGCCGGATACATGACGTTCCATCCTTTCGGGTAGTAGTAAAGCATCGGGTCACGGTATGCCATCGGACCGAAATGCACAACTCTCTGGTTGCCGGTCCATTCAGAGGGATCCAATTCGTAAGGCGTTTGCACGGCTGCATCGTGTTGGACAACGTTCTTCACGATGGACACACCTACGTACACGAAAATTTCTTCAACTGACTTCAAAAAGCCATCAAATCTTCTTTAACAAAATATCACCTCGACGCCTTCGTATTTTCTTCTGCGCTCGTGTGGATCGACCAGCGAAGTAAATAAGATGGGTGCGTACCCGCTCTTTCGACTTTAACTGACCCCCATTTCGTTTCATTTCCGACTTATATGCCTAAAACAATTATCATGCTGAACTCTTACGGAACATTAATAGTTTCCGGTCAGGATTCAAATTCATTACACACCTTTCCCCGCACTCTAAGATGTCTATGAAGTCATTAAACCGCGCCATGACAAAATTTTTTTGCATCCGCAGTTCATATTTCGCCCAGCATGCTACTGACTAGCGCAACAAATTATCCTGCTGCCAAAGTTTCAAGATCCGCCGCTATTTATACGACTACATGTTTACACATGAAAGCAAACTTCACGGAATTTCACTTTCCACAACCGCTCCTCCATTCGGGTTGCGGACACAGACGCGTCAGACCGTTTCTCCGACGCTCCCGATCCAGTGTTAGCATTTGAACATCGGCCGAAACCAACCGGAGTCTGGAGCAGAGCCTAGTGGTAGCACTAGCCTCAAGTTATTCTTCGCCATCACGGGCTCCGTGGCCGGTCGGCTGAGCAACCAGTAACTACTCCCTCTTCCTTCCTGGATGCATTCGCAAGACCTGATCAAACCACCACTGCAGTGACTTCTCAATCTGAAACAGCATCAGCTATATAACAAGGCTCTCTCGGATTTCTCTACTGTGAATCATGTTGAGACGCGTGGGGCCAGCGACATGTCTCAGAAAGCCCATCACATTCGGGATCGAAACTTCTCGATCACGGTTCA